AACCAAAACTTTGTAAATAAGGAGGGGAAGAGGGGTTGAAGGGAGGGCAGGGGGATGGGATATGTCATGTACACAGATACAGATTCCTTATAATGAAAATGATCATTAGGCATATCTAAATTATACCAATATACTTAATTAATTTTTTAAAAAGAAAAAGGAACATGGGGATAATCTAGGATCCGGAAAGAGGCCTAGTTAAGACAAGGCTTGTCAAAGTGCAAAAGTTCATATGAACTCAGAGAAAGAATGGCTGCTACCCAAGAGAAGCACTTTGTCCCCCATCGTAGGACTTAAGCCCAGAAAAACAAGCTGTAATGCCACTTCCAAAATACACACAGTCCTAGCAAGACAAAGTTCTCAGTGACTTACAAATGGAACTTTTCCTCCCAAACAGGATTTAAGTTTCCAAAAATGGTCTTGGTACGCTTCTTGGTTTTGCCGACTTGCACAGTCACGTAAGGGTCACTGGATCCTGTTTTGTCCTTGGCTTGCAGGCCCTGGGCACACACCACTGCAAACGGAGCACACACAGAAGGCCTCAGAGTACGCTTCCAATTAAGTCAGAAGCCATGCGGAGCACTACCACAGCTCTCCCTCTGAGAGCAGCCTCCCCCCGCTCTGTGCACAACCCTAACCTCACGTCTCTGTACCTATCTGGGGCCACCAGCTTCTCCTCAAAAGCTAGCACGAGTATCCTGCACCCCAAGCCCTAGCTGACTGCTGAGCTTCTCTGATATACACACGATTCAGCCCTACCCAACCGCTCAGTAAACCACTGATTATTCCCGTCTCCTGCTTGCCCCCTCCACATAACCTAGCTCTTCCTGCTAACCAGCTCTACAGTGTCAGGCAGCGTCTATAGTTACAGACCCTTGCATCCTGGTTGGCACTGTTTGTGGGATCACTCTTGCCTCTCCCACCACAAGGGTCTGGGCAAGAAGAGTGGACAGTGCCCTCCTTCTTCCTCTCAGTGCAGTCCCCATCACTCGCTCCCTCACACTCTGGATGCTTCCTCCCAGGCTCTTCCCCACGGTCCCAGCCTCTCTGCCCACTCAAATCCTTCCTGCTTACCAGTGATGGTAATCTTGGCTGACCATTTAGAGGTGCCATCCAGTACACTCTGCTTCACTGTTTTCATCTGCTGCACATGAGCAACTTTGCTCACTGCAAAGACGTCCCTGATAACCTCAAAGATCTCTGGTTTATTTCGCTCTCGGATTTTCATGCGGTCCTTCATAGCCATGATAATGTTCTGTGTCCGGTCCTCAGCTCCGTGTTTACAGCTCTTTTCTGCAGCCCCTGGAGGGTGGCCAGAGATAGAAAGTGACCCACCAGCCATTCATCAGATCAGGAGCAAACCGAGAAACAGGCCCTGGGAGAGGCTGAGAAGCCACAGAAGAAGCTTAAGGAAACTGGGGTATCTCTGGGGCAAGTCAATCACTGCGGGCCCTGCTGACCTGGCAAATAAAAGGGCAGCAAATCTTAACGTGATGAGGGTTCATCACACTATTCTATTTACAGTGTGGAATATTTTCATCCACACTTCAACTGTAAGGTCAAAATATCTCCAGCGGCTGTCTTAGTTATCAGGGAGGGGGTGGGGATGAACACGGCGAAATCACCAATCTCATCCATTACTGCCAAGCATGATCCAGACCCTCGACTTCATCATGGCTGTCCCATGACTCTCAGCAAACAGTGTGATGTGGAAAGAGAAGTACAGGCTTTGGTCAATCAGACAGACCTGGGTTCAGATCCTGCCTCCACCACTCCTAGCTTGGAGAACTGGACTTCTCTAAGGGGAGATAATGGTGCTTATCTTTTAGGGTTACAGTGAGCATTACTTTGCATAGCACGGCTGAGACACATACCCTAGAGCTGGGCAGCTACCAGGTCCAGTGGCACCTCGGTTCGTGAGCCTAGTTCTTTCCAAGATTCTGCTTGCAAGGCGAACTGGACGAGAACTGAATCAAATTCACTTGTTAGGTTGGTTCAGTGATAACCTTATGGCAACATTCTCGTCCAATTCAGTTTGTGAACAGAATCATGGAAAGAATTAAGTTCGTGAACCAAGGTACCACTGTACTCAATAAATCATCACTATTATTATTCCCTTCTCTTACTATAATCCTTATAGATACTGTTGCTGTAGCTTATCTCCGAGTAACAATTCAGCGACATGCAGAGACAGGAGACTACTTTCCCATATCCTCAACCCCTGCTTTTCCTGGGGCCCACTCAGTATACGTCCAGCTGGAAGGGAGTAGATGACAGGAGATCTGAGCACATCACATCCCCTGCCAGGAGCCTGGTACTTTTCCTAGTCTCATGCTTTCCACTCCAGCAAGTGGAACCACGTATGTAGACAGGCCTGGGGAGCCTGGCAAACTCTCCACCGGGAACCTTTGCTCCACCAACTTGAAACTTCTGTTCCTCGCACTGCTGTCTAAAATTCTGCACCATCTACAAGGAAAACATGCTGCTAACACGTAGGGATTTCCTGGTCCTAGGGTCCACACCTCAGCAAGCTCCTCTGTGAGGCCTGGAACCTCACAGGCGTCTCTCTTCTCTCCTCTCCCTCTCTTTCTATCTCTTCTCGTTAGTTTCATCTCCTGATTAAACATGCTCTACTCACTTGGCCAATAAGGCACCATAGCGCAGGGTATAGAAAGTTCAGAGAATTTTTCCTAAAGGTACTTAAGAAGCTACGAAAAGGCTTTCTATCTGCAAAGGCAATACTCCTTGATTCAACGGTCTACCCTCTCTGAAGAAGAGCGTCACGATCAGGTAGACTGGAGGAGGAGTGAGGGTGCAGCCATCGCTCACTCTTCACTGCAGATTATCTCAGACAGGAACTGCTGCCCCCCGCCCCCAGCCCTCACCCCGCCCGCACTCACGCTGCAGGCAGTCGGCGTTGAGCAGGTCCTGGCACTTCTCGTGGCACTTGACGCCGCACTCACTGCAGCGCATGCCCTGGCGCGCGATGCCCCACAGCAAGCCTTCGCACTCATAGCAGTAGGTTGGGGTAGTAGCTGTCCAGACTTCGAAGTTGTGGGGTGTGGTACATGAGATGGGGTAGATTAAAGCCTGAAGGGTTTTCTTATACACATGGGATTTCTGAAAGACACATACCCCATCACCCACCAATGACTTTAGGACTGCAGAAAAATTCTACAACTGAGACCTTCTGGGGCAGTCAGGGTCCCGGTTTTTCTCCTTGCCAGGGGAGAAGAAAATCCAGTCTGGCCCAGCCCAGCCTAGTGGAAAGAAGTCCCCACTACAGTGTGTCTTGGTTGTCCAGCACAGGTCCAACCTGACACTGGTTGGGGCCTTGTCCCAGCATTCACACTTTCTGTGGAAACAGAGGGTTACAGGCTCCAGTCTGGATGCTTGCCTCTTGCAGTGTAGAAAACTGAGAGCTGATGCTATGCAGTTTCATGAACAATATGTGCCCAGTACTCTGAATTCCCAGTTAGTATGGCTACAGAGATGACCATGGTCCTACCGAGAGTAGACTCAAGAAAGCCCCTGGGTCACTTACCAGCTCTTCATCCTTGAGAGAAGTACGTGTAGCCATTGCAGAAGTAATCCCTGCCTTCCGGGACTGGACCAGTGACTACGAAAGAAGATTTGCTATCAGTCCTGGTCACCACCAAGGACTGGCAAAATCCTGAGTGGAAACTTCAGTGACCAAATCCAGTTGGCTAGAACTTGTTCTATTTTTATTGTTACTTGTAGGAAATACTCCTGGGCAAAAGGTAACAAGTGTCCCAGGTTAAGATGCAAAACCAAAGGCATTTCCTTCAGGTCTCTACCTTCTGAAGGGCTTCTCTTTCCCTCACTATTCTTAGGTGTTCTACCCCACAGAAACCCCTTATTTATAGGAAGGGAAAGGAAAATGAATAGCTTAGAATTACAGTAGGAAACAAATCGTAACAGTAACAGAGACATACAACTTTTTCAGAGTTACACTGAAGAACCACCACTGGGAACAATGATTTCATGCTAAGTGCTACTCCCTGGGCCCTCCCAATGTCCAATCCAGGGCACTTGGCAGGTGGAAAGGACAAGGTAATCTCAGTGAAATCAAGCAAGGAAGGGAGTTAAATCTGACAGCCAGGGCTGACCTGCCGCTAGCCAGGCTTTTGTTGCCACACATATCTGTCAAGTCCAAGTTAATTTAGAGGCCGACTCTGGACAGACTGAAGTCACAGTATCAGCCTATGCGGGAGGATCAGCTGGGAAGGACCCAAGTGATTTGGGGTATGGACTCTCAGAGGATGGAGAGGGGCTCTGGAGACACTCACCATAGCCTGCGCAGAGGACAGCAGAGAAAGGAACAACATGACGTTAAGATCCCCCAAGAGCATGAAAACTTTCAGAGGCAACAGAAGGGTTCTCTGTCACACAAAGTGTAAGGAGCATGTCTCACACCCTTCTGCCCCTATCCACTAAAACTGTCTTCAGCCAGACAGCTGGCCAGCAACCACAGCTTAAAGCTCCTACTCTGAGAGTTACACCACAACGTGAAAAACAGGCCAGGTAAAGAGAGAACAGGGAAACAGAGACCAGAAAATTCAGGTAAGGAGGGAAGAGAGAATGAGGAACAAAAGAAAAACAGGAAGAAGAAAAAGGTAAGATGAGCAGTAATAAAGAAAGGAGGCTGGACATAAAGAGGAGGCGGCATCAGAATCCATCCTTCAGCCAGCCAGATGGGCACTGACGGAAGAGGTGCACACACGAGGAGGAGAGCGGAGGCCGGCGTGCGACTCGGCGGCGTGGTGCTTGTCCAGCGTGTACAGGGCCCTGGGTTTGATTCCCCAGCACCATCAAAAGAAAAACAAAGCAGGAAAAATAAAGAAGACACACAAATGTTAGGAAAGAAAGAAATGAAACAAAATTGGTAGATAACTCCATTCGGCCAACTAAGCAGAGAGAAACTAGCAGAAGAAAGAGAATGGATAAAAAAATAAAAAATTAAAAAAGAAAAGAGAATGGAGAAGAGAGAAAAGGAGTAGGCAAAAAAAAAAAAACAACAACAGGACAGGGAGGGAAGAGAAGAAACAGGAGATGAAAATGGTGCTAAGAAAGAGGACTGAGGCATCACCAAACCTCGTAACTTACACGTGGCTGCAGGGCTCTGGGACTCTGGAGAGCCTAGGTTCCATTCTATTGCACAACCAATGGCTCTAGAAATTCCCTTTAGCGGACCCCGCTTTAGAAGGTATGGCCTAGAATGGGGCCTTCTGGTCGTCTTGGAGGCCCCAAGATCAGCTTTAACTCCAAATGTTGCAGATCAATTCCACAAATGTTCATCATTGCCTCTCTTAGGAGGACACTTTGCCTTGATCTCCAAGAAGGGATCAAGCTCCAGCCATGCCCATTATACACCACGTTCAACAATCTGGGTCAACGTTAGAGGTAGGTTCCACTGCAAGCCATCACAGAAGGCTGTAGAGACACCTAGAGGAAGGCCCAGGGCCCCGCTGTGAGGGCTCGTGCTGTAAGTGTTCCAGGAAGGAGCCTGACCTAGACAGGAGCCCAGGGCTCTGACTATGGAGGCAGAGCAAGGTCTCACTGAAACCATCAGTGAGACTTTAAATAACTGATCAGCAGAATAATATCCAGTAAATGGACCACTTCCAGTCCCAACAGCTCGCTAAGGCCCAGTTGGGGATACCCCAGGCTACCTCCTAAGTTTGTACAGGAGGCTTTACTCACCAGATCACTGACAAGTGGCAATGGCTTTTTCCTGCGTAGATCTGGCATACTGTCAATGCCATAGAGCCCTCCCGCTGGCCTGTGAGAAGAAGAAAACATGTCAGGACCTTCAGTCCTGACTTGAGTTACTGGCAGGTTCAGGGCTCCATTTTCCTTCCTCTCTCTCTCCCGCAGAGAAAGATGAACCCAGCTATACCATGTGCTGTTGAGAGGGCGAAGGAAGACAGAATGCGAGAGGGCTGAAGCCGTGGGAGGAGCAACAGAATCTGCGCGAGTGCCCCTCAGGGTCTTCTGTGGTTTTAACCAACCAGGACAGGTCAAGGAACTTCTGTTTACTTGAATGCACTGTGCAGCCAAAAGCAAGGCTGGAATTGCTGGTCAACAGGTTTCTTGTCCACACACAAGCCAGGGACACTGCTTCCCAAAAATAAGACTCGCTGCCCTGCAAAAGGCCTCCAGGAATGGCTCTCCAGGAGAGGCCTGCTGCCTGGATGAGCAGGACGAGCAGACAAGACATACAGGAGACTTTCTCTGCCAAGACCAAACGAGTCACCAGTTCTGTCTACCCAGCTCCTGAAGAAAAGGGTCTTCACGGAGACAGAGGCGTCCATAATCAAGTGGAGGCAGAGGAGATGTGATGGGGTAGATGCTGGGAAAGACCATTCAGAAAAAGAAAATAGCCAAAGGACTCTGAGAGTCTGGCCTAGCCCTGTGAACAGACACATCAAGACAGACCAGAAAAAAATGATCCCTAAAGCAACTGGAAATTTCTGAAACTTTTATACCTTTACCATAGTTATTAACTTTGTTGCTGTGTGGCTATGCTTCCATAATGGTATGCAATAAAAAAAGTCAGGGTGTCTTCCCAAACAACATCAGTATTGCACTGAGAAAATCTACATTTCAGCCCCACTTTTACTAAATCCTATGGTGTCCTCTGCTAGCACCCCTTCCGCCCTTTGGGCCTTGGTGTCACGTCTGTAAAATGAGGTGGACAGGCAGAAAGCCTCTCCCTAGTGTCCTAGATGCCAGGACGCTGAGCCTCAATGAAAAGCACTCAGAAACCTGGTTTTAACGAGAGGAACGAGGTGAGGAAAGCTGAGGGAGTTGTGTTCTGTAACACAGGTGAAGAGAAATCCTGGAAGAATAAGTAAGAACCTCCAGCAATATAAGCAAAGAATGGAGCCACAAATTAGGTCAAGGCTAGGAGCTACAATGGTCAACTCAATATGCTGATTTTTAATAAGCTGGTTCCCTGAATATAGGCAGAGGACTTTGTCTTTAATGAGGTTACCAGGCCTAAGGAAGCCTATACTTGGTTCGAAGGACTAAGCTGAAGGAAAATGAGAGGTTCGAAGGACTAAGCTGAAGGAAAATGAGAGGTTCAAAGGACTAAGCTGAAGGAAAATGAGGAAGACAAAAAGGAATTATTTAGAAACTTCTGCATAACTCTATTTAAAAATAGTTTGGGTATGTTCCACTGGCATGTGTGTATTTCATAATTGTTGGAAGAAAAAAAGTCACAAGTTTGTAGCCAATTCTAAAAACTACAATATGTACCATGTAAGCCAGGAAGGGTTTTTTTTTTTGCTTTTTGTTTGTTTGTTTGTTTGTTTGGTTTTGTTTTTTTCCGGTACCAGGAATTGAACTCACAACCTTGCGCTTGCCAGTAGGTGCCGTGCCACTGAGCTAAATCCCCAGACCCCCAGGAAGGGCTTTTTTTGTTTTGTTTTGTCTTCGATACAAGGTCTCACTATGCAGTTCAGGCTGGCCTTGAGCTCACTCTGCAGCCCAGGCTGGTCTCGAACTAGCAACAATCCTTCTGCCTCAGCCTCCCAAGTGCTGGGATTACAGGCATGCGTCACCATGCCCAGCTAGGTTTTTGCAACATAAATGATCCTCTGAAAAAGAAGCAGGGGCTGGGGATATAGCTCAGTGGCATAGCGCCTGCCTGAAAAAGAAGGGGAAGCTCATTCACATGATTAACCTTTGATTAAAAACCAATAGCAAAATAAGAAGCATGTAAAAATATGGTAGTATGCTGAAGAACACAGCTCAGTGTTCACACTGTGCAAAAGGTCCTGGGTTCAGTCCCCAATCTCTCTCTCTCTCTCTCTCTCTCTCTCTCTCTCTCTCACACACACACACACACACACACACACACACGCAAGATAATTTTATGATTTGATCTTTTTTCTTGGCCATGAATAAGAGAAGGCAGCTACTAGAACTTCTTTCTCTTTTCTCCTCTTCTCTCCCCTCTCTATTTCTTTCCTTCCTTCCTTCCCTCCCTTCCTCATTTTTTTTTTTCCATACTGGAGATTGAACCCCAGGCCTTCCTACTGAGCTACATACCCAGCTCTTTTCTTATGTTTTTATTTTGAGACAGCGTCTTATTAAATTGCTAAGTTTCCCAGGCTATGCTCAAACTTCTGATCCTCCTGCCTCAGCCTTCCAGAGTGCTAGGATTACAGGCACGCATCCCCCAGAAATTCTTATTTCAGAATCCTTTGTAGGACAAAGGAAGAAGGAAAGTCAGAGAGCTAACTGGCAGTGTGTGCAGGGGAGCAGGACATGGGGAGACACTTAAACTCTCTCCTAAGAACAGTCAGTTATAGGCAGCAGTTGAGCAGCTTAAAATGACTCTGTGGTGCAGTCACATGGGTCTAAAATTCCCAGACAAGAAGCACACACAGCACACACAGAGCTCGAAAGGGATGCTACTTACGTCTTGACTACAGTGAAATAGAATAAGTTGGTGACTCACAACAGTGGAAGCAGGACTAAACCCAGGGAGTAAACTAGTCAGATACACCATCAGCAACGAAGTGGAAAGGAAATGCTCCCAAACACAAGTACTCTTCTATCTAATGCTCTCATTATTCCACGTAAGTCCAGGACCCCTGTGATGCAACGGGTCGGAAGTCAGGAGAGCAGGATGAGGGGGCCCGGAGTCCCCCTGTGCTGGGGAAAACACTCAGCAAAGGTCTCTTCTGCCTCTAAAATACTCCCAGAGAACCAAGCAACCGACTGAGAGCGGGACCTCTGCCTTGCCCAGGGGCTAGCTTATGGACCTAATGCCCCTGTCCCCAGGGGAGAAGCTAAGCATGGAGACAAGATGAAATCCATACAAATCTGGACTCTAGGAAGCACTTACCCTTCTGGGAGCCACTGTGGCAGGGAGGAGCTGCCATCATCTGGAATCTTTAAAAAGAGAGAGAAAAAAATTAGATGCTGAGAAATACGAAGACTGCCCACCGGCTGGCAGTAAGCAGTTTAGGTCACACTTACCATGAGGTGATATAGCCAGCCTCTCACCTACACTTACACCCCTTCGTCCAAGGCAATAAGCACGCTGCTACAATAAGCAGTACTTGTCTCCATCTTCCCCAGTGAATAGAAAGGATATAAGGTCATGCTCACTGAGGTCCTAAGGCTAAGGATCCACTGAAAGTGCAGCAACTGCCAGAACTCTGGTGTCCGTTTTCCAAGACACCGGTGTAGAGCACCGTAAGCCAAGCCCAGGAGGAGGGCTTCTGCAGGTTCAGCCCTCACTAAAGCAAAGGGGCAACTTCACACAGTGTCAGGTCTCTAGCTACATTCCTGGGTTTCTCTGGCGCAGAAGCAGACCTGGTCTTTCTGATTACATCTCGGCTTGTGATCTGACATAGCCTGGGTCCCTGACACCCCGGATTACCCACGCCGAGTACACAGATATGAGTCCCTTCTCTGCTTTTGATAAGCTTGATACAGTGAAAGCCCAGGGCAGAGTAGATGTTTATTTCACTATTCTGGTGAATTTTATAGGCTCTAGCATGCGAAGTTGAAAACTGAGACATCACTTAAGTCACGGAAGGAACAGTTTAAAAATATTTTTAAGGTTTCTGCTCACACACACAAAAAGAAAGCAATCCAAAATAAGCAATGGCTTAATCAATGTAAAGGGAGAGTTCCAAGGCCGCTAGGAGTCTCTAGGGAGTCAGTGGTACACACTCTGTAGGCACAAGAACTCTAATGCTAACAGGGCTGGGGACCCCCCTTCCCTTCCTTTTTCAACAACGTTCCTGGAACACAAGAGCTCCATAAGGAGGCAGAAGTAAGGCTCTCAGCTTCGGACAGGCTGGGGAGGAGTGAGGTGGGGGACAGCTGAAGGTGGGAGAAGGTAAGGATAAAATGAGGCAAGAAGGAAAAAAATAGGGGGAGACAGGACAGGGCTGATAGGTGCTAGAAAGGGGAGCACGCACTACCCTGGCTCAGTAGTAAGTTCACATGAACTTTGGATGGAAGCTCCTTCTCAGTATGATACTCTTGGGTTGTCCATGTTTTATATCGAACCCATCTGCCTACTGCCCGTACCTTTACTCCACCTCTGTCTCCTGTCCTGGTTCTGAGGGACAGGATGATAGTGGTGATGGGAGGCCAGGCCCAAAAGACAGCCAGGAGTGTTTGAAGCAAAAGACAACACGTGTAACAGAAGGAACAACAGTAGGTGGGAAATACCAGAGAAACTGCAAGTCTCCTAAGGCTGCTCAGAGGCAGGGACAGGAGGTGAGCATCAGGGGAGTCCTTCTCTCCACCTCTAGAGTCTACCAACCAGAATTGATCTTCCTTTTGGAAACAGCTACTGCAATGAGCAGGCTCTTACTTCCTTTTCAATTCCCAGAGTTATGCATTTGCCGGAACTACTGAGTTTAAGAAAACAAAGTCATAGGACGTCTTTGGGAACCAGGCCCAGATCATGCTTAGAGGGGGCAGTAGTCTGCAGAAGCACAAAGCATGCACACACAGCGCACCGAAGGAGGACGGGGGGCGGGGAGAAGTCTAGGCGAAGCATTTGGAGGCGGTATACTCGCTGACACAACTCGTACCTGGAGCAAACAAAGGTAAGCATGAATCCTGTGCACATGGCTTCAGAGCATGAGCACAGACTCGCTGGAGAAGGATTCACAGCGCTCACTAGGGCCCAACACAGGTGCAGCAAACTTTCAGAAAACTCAAGTCAGCGCTTTCAGGCACAGAGTATTTAGGACACCACGCATTCACGAGGTTTGTGAGGACCACACAACAGGTCTGCTGAAGCCCCGCCCACAGAGAGTCCAGGAAGCCTGCCCAGAACCACAAAACACCTTCCCACTTAGCGCCCCAAGAAAGAGGCACAAAATGCCCGTGGCAACTCCTGCTCTCTCTCAAAGACAAGTGCGCACGCATGCTGGGCTCAGCCAGGGTTTACAGCACAGGCCAGAGTCTGCAGCAACATACAAAAACGGACACACTGTTTAGACGAGCAGAAGAGGAGGCCAATCTGCGTCTGCGGGAGTCAGACTGAGTACAAGTGTACGCACACACAAGCCACATGACCGTGCGCCCATGCCGGCAAGCATACGTTCTCACACTGTGCTCCAGGGATGTTGGCAGGAGCACACAAAGCATGGAACATGCACACAAACCTCTTTCTGGAAGAACAGACTATGCGCATGAGCCACAGCTCAGAAGTACAGATCATGCACAAGTACGCGCACACACACACACTGCTCAGAGAACAGACACGAAAAAGGGCCCAAAGGGCCAGAGGCACAACCTGAAGGGCTTCTCGATTTCCTTCCGCAAGGAGAGAAAGAGCAGGAAGAAAAAGGGGGCAAAAAAGGTTAGTAGATTAAGTCCTACAGCAGGGAACACAAAGAAAATGCCAGCTAATCCCAAGGGGCAGGGAGGAGAGGGAGAGGGCCACTGGATACCCAGCGGGCACACAGCCCTGCCGCGCGGCTCCCAGAATCTTTACTACCCATGTTTGATGGCCTCTGATTTTTATTTTTTATTATTTTATTTTATTTTATTTTTATTATTTTTTGGTCTTTTGGAGACAGGGTCTTGCTATGTAGTTGAGGCTGGCCTTGAGCTCACTTTGTAGCCCAGATTGGTCTCGAACTCCCAACGATTCTCCTGCCTCAGCCTCCCAAGTGCTGGGACTACAGCTGTGCATAACCACGCCCAGCCCTGGCCTCTGATTTTTAATATGAACATAAACCAGAGGACAAAGTCTCTCTGGGGATTCCACTTGTCATTTCCTCCTTTCCAAAATGGACTCCGCCCGGGGTCTGGCTGCTAGGCTGCAAGACCAAGTTTGTTACCAAGGACCACTCCAATAGACTGTCCAAGCTGTTGAGCACAGAGTGAGTTTTTTCCATAGCAGCCATAGAAACTTACTGTGGATCTAGAATAGGTCTTCAAACCCCAAAGGCGCTTTCCATTTTTGCAGTGCAGGCTTGGCTGTGCATTTGCTCAGGGAGCCCTTGCCTGTGTTCCCAGGTCTGAAATTAAGTTAGGCCAAGGCAGAACCTGGAGTGAAGGCCAGGACTAGGATGCTGAACAAGTAGAGACCCTGGAGCATCAACTGGTTGCTGACCTAACAGAAGTGGCCGTGATGTGGACGATGAAGTCATGGCTGCAATCCCAGGCCTGACTGTCAAACCCACAGCCATACTTCCCAAAGAAACAGACAATTTCAGAAGGACCCAAGCAAAGCCCCTACAGGAGATGAGTAAAGCCCAGAGATTATTCTTTTCCTAGTCATCAGAGACTACACTGCCCTCTATGCCATATATGGAGAAAAGAAATATTAAGACTTACACACTCTTTGCTAGTCCTGTGTCATTCTGTTCAAGCTGGGAAAAAGTGTAACATGGGGCACAACTGTGAAAAAGCTCTCAAGAGCAGTTTGAAAATGGAAAAAACCAAAGCTCTCTCAAGTTCGCAAAGGTTTGGATGGATTCTAGCCTGAGCAAAGGTGCAGCGAAAGGCTCTGCAGTGTTTGGACTGCTCTTGTTACCGCTGTCTCCAAGTTGCTCTTGAGTTTCCATGGAGTGTACAGGCCCCTTATAAGCAATGTGCAGAGGGTAGTTATGCTGGATGAATAAATGCTAGAGATTTTTTCCAGATGTGCCCACTCTGCACTGTCCCCACCAGGCCTTGCCTGGGTGTTAACCAGCTGGAAGCCCCTGGTGGCTCCGGTTGATGGCCTGTCCTTCTTGCCCCACTGCCCAGACTTGGGGGAGATTTCTGGCGATGATGATGATGAAGTGCTCTTATCTTACTTCTGTCCTACGCACCATATTCAGTAATAGCTTAGAATAGCGATGATGGTATATACTATATTTGGAAACTAGCAGTATAGGATAAGACTCCAAAAGTACAAAAGCAAACAAGCTGGACATGGTGGCACATGCCTGTAATCCCAGCACTCAGGAGGCCGAGGCAGGAGGATCATTGCAAGTTTGAGACCAGCCTGGGCTACAAAGTGAGCTCAAGGCCAGCCTCAACTGCTTAGTGAGACCCTGTCTCAGAAAGACCGAAAAAAAAAAAAAAAAAGCAAACAGACTAGAATAGCCCCAGTTTAAGTGTGCTAACTCCTCATTCTGCCTGAAACTTCACCACTAACTTCTTAGTGGCTGCTCTAGACACCAGAAACGAAGAGATGAGTGAAACAAAGTCTATCAGCCCACTTGGCAAGAGGATGGCTCACCCAGCCCACCCTAGATGAAATTTCCACCAACAAAATCTCTAGAATCTGTCCAAATTAATACAGATAGCTCCTGACAGGAATGACAGCAGCAAACAAAACAGTGCTCTCCATGGCTCATGTTGACCTGAGTAGGCAAGATGAATTATATGATTTCCACTGCTTTACTTTCACCTCTTCTACTTTTTAAAAAATTTTAATTTCATTTTATATTTTTGATAGTACTGAGGACTGAACCCAGGGAATGCTGAGCTATATACCCAATCATTTTTATAATTTTGAAACAGTCTACCTAAATTGCCCCGGCTGGTCTCAAATTTTCAAGTCTTCTGCCTCAGCCACCTGAGTAGCTAGGATTATAGATGCACATCACCATGCCTGGCTCCCACTTCCTCTTGTCACTTGGTGGTTTAAATTTTGCTTATAACCATCTGAAATTTTCCTTGGCAGCTTTTTCAGTTGAAGCTACATCTTATAACAGTGCGCCAGATAGGGGGTAGTTCAAAACAAGAAGCTGAACAAGCTCCTAAAACCCTCATCGTTCCTAATGCCTCTCTGTGAATGGAAGCCTCTGCCACTGTGTGAAATCCTCTAAGATCAATGAGACTTGAACACCAGTTCATCCACTTGGGCCCATCAGCTCCTCCACCTCCTCACCACCATTCATTCATTCATTCATTCATTCAGAGGAAGGGTTGAGACAAGGTCTTCTGCAATATAGGCCGGCCTTGAACTCATGATTTTCCTGCTTCAGGCTCTTAGGTACTGAGATTACACCGGATGTATGCCACCACTTCCAGGTTCCCCCTCCCTTTTAACGAACCACTGGTTTAATATCAAAGTAGAAGGGAGAGAGCAAGCACCTAACTCATGAGTTCCGAGTATTTTTCAGGCTATTTCCGATGACTCAGTGGGTCACCTGTCTTGACAGAGGCATGAACCCATGACTAGGAGTCCTCCAAACAGTACAGCTCCACAGAAGTGAGTGAGTGAAATGAGGACATAGCTCTACCACACCCACATACCACTTCCTCTGTTCCCTTTTAATAAGAAAATTAGGCAAAGCCATGCATGGTATACATGCCCACAATCCCAGTTACTCCAGAGGCTGAGGCAGGAAGATCACAAGTTTGCCCCTAGCCTGGTAATTCAGCAAGACCCTGACTCAAAGTGAGATACAAAGGGCTAAGGATGCAGCTCAGTTACAGAGTGCCTGCCTAATATGTGCGAGGCCCTGGCTTCAGTGTCAAGTACTGTGCATCAGTCAGTCAGTCAGGAGAGGAACACTTTACCCCTGTGACTCAAACTAGAAATGTTTCCTTCCTCCTCCACTATCGTAAATACATTTTACACATCACGTCAAAGTTACTTTGATTGCATCCTTCTGTTCTCCTAAAATGCCTACAGAATGAAATCCAGTAAGTTGACAAGGTAGTCTCTACAATCTGTTCCCAACTCTAAATTCTCCGCCCTGACCTTATATCATCTCCCCAAGGTCTAAATGCCTTGTTTCCCAAAGAGGTCAGATTCTCTCAACTCCACACATTTATTCTTCTGTTCCATTAGTCTGAAAGAGCACCTTGCACATCTTTTTCATAGAGTAGCATCAACATCCTCCTTCAAACTACAGTCTGCGAGGTCTTCACTGACGCCCACCCAAGTAAGAGTTAGTGAAGCTCTCCCAGGGCTCTTACGTTCTGCTCATCCGCTCACTGCTATTTACTGTACCTTGCCTGGTGTTCTGTAAAGTGCTTCCACAGGTGTACTTTCCCTAACACTCTAACTCTCCTTCTCCTCCTTTGCATGTGTAATATATTCAAGCCTTATTAAACTCTTGTCCATCATTTATCTGAAACTCTGAGTATCTCCCTCCTCCACCTCCGGGTGGGCCAGAACATATTCCTTAAGACTTCATTCAAATACCAATGCCTCTGTGAAATTGCTTGATTGCCTTCCTCCCACAGGTAGAATTAGGTGTCTCTCCACTATGGCACCCACCCTTCTATAAGCACTCTTCCTTGACGGTATGTTGTCAATAATATTTTCATTGCAGCTGTCTGTATAAACTCTTCATACTTCTGGAGACTTGTCAAATTAAAAACTTCGGAGCAAAGATTCTATGACTCCCCCCTTCCCTGCCCAAGGCATGGTCTTACTATGTTGCCCAGGTTGGCCTTGAACTCCCAGCCTCAAGTGATTCTCTTGCCTCGGCCTCCCCAGTAGCTGGGACTATATGCATGCATCACTGCGCCTGGCTATATGAACGTCTTGAGAGCAAGCATTATATGATTTCACATTGTATCCTGGAGGCTTACAACATCTCCTAGCACTTTTATACAGTAAAAGGAACCTAAAAATTTCAGGACTTGAATATACCTCTTCCCCAGGACCAGGGAAGATACATCTCTTAGCAGTCTGTATCATTTTCCAGATCCTGAGGAAGTGTTCTCCTAACTCTTCAGTTTATCCCACCCAAGGGACAAACATAAAAAATCTTTTCTTGTTAAGAATCAAACTTATTGTGCTGCTTTATTTATTGTGCTTCTTTTAGCCTTAGGATTTCCCTACTGAGATTTATTTTGCAGTTTACACTGTAATGTCTATAGGACAATTACTTTGTAAGAATATCACTGGTCCCCAAAATGATCTCACTTTTCTATACAGTCCATTTTATGAGAAAGCGACACACTTCCTCACCTCCACTTCCACCAGCATACCCAATAACACAATCCTCATGCTGGGGGAGATGATGTACATGTCTAACCCTAGCACTCTGGGAGGCAGGTAGAAGCATCTCAAGTTCAAGCCTAACCTGGGCAACTCAGCAAGATTCTGTCTCAAAAGAAAAAGGGGGGGGGCACACAGCTCAATGCAAAAGCCCTGGGTTCAATCACCATACTGGGTATGAATGAATGAATGAACTCCACAGGAACTGGGAGTCAAAAGATTTGAGGCACTCAGTACTTTTGCACCCACATCCTCTTATCGACCATAAGCAGGTAAGGGCAGCTACCTCCCAGGTCGTTGCAAGGACTCATTCTCGCAAAAACTTAAGACCTGACCACACACGGGGCAGCCTTCTTGG